AAAGGAACACAGAGAATAGATAATAAATGGCTTCACTCCAATCACATAAAAACTATCTATCAAAATGGGAAAACACTCAAAAGGCAGATATCATCAGAACAGATTAAAAGCAGGATCTAATTACGTGATCTCTACAAGAAACACACTTTAAATACAGACTTTCTCACTAGTAATCCTAGTCTAAAATAAGGTAGAGAAAAGGAACTCAAAGGTAATAACCAAGATGCATGAAGAGTTACAGGAAAAGTCAATATGTCAATATAAATAAATATTTAACTATGTAACAAAAATAAACAAATAACTGCAAGATCATAGATAAGCAGAGAGTAAATGGATAAAGAAGATCTGCTATGCAAAGAGTAAGTATAAAAATGATGAAGTGGCTACAATAATATCTGATTTTAAAACAGTATTTAAGACACTTAGTATTGCCAAAGATAATGAGAAATATTTTACAATGAAAATAGGCTCATTTTTTAGAAGAAATTCTGATTGTCAATGTGCCTAAATCTAACAGAAGACTCTCAAAATGCATCAAATAAAAATTAACAAAATTAAAGTGAGTACTAGAAAATCTCATAATAATATATTTTAACAACTGCCTCAGTAACTATTATAAAACTAGATAATAGTCAGTAAAGACATACTATGCTAATACATTAGGATATTATATTTATAGAAACTACAAATAGAATTCTTTTCAAGAGCACATGGTACATTCACAAAGATAAGTCAGAGTTTAGCCCATAAAATAAATCTCTATATATTTATAAGAATTCAAATTAAAGACAGTAGTTTCTTTTAATTAAAATTAAGTTATATATTTAGAAAAGCACAAAATATTTGAAAATGAGCCAATGTAACCTCTAACATATTCATGGGTTTTTCAACAAGAAAAATTAGAAAGTATCTCTGGATGAAAATAGAAATATAACATATTAATGTCTGTGTGACGTGGCAAAATGAGTTCTCATAAGAAAATCTATAACTCTAAATGCTTCTATTAGGAAATTAGGGAAAAAAACTATAATCAACACCTTGGGTTCCACTTTAAGCAGTCAAAAAAGAAGAAAATCCAACTCAAAGTAAGTAGAGGAAGAAATAACACAGAAAAGAGTAGAAATCAACTAAACAGTAATCAGAAAATTAGTCAAATTAAAAGAACACATGTTCTCACCAAAACTGACAAAATTGATGAGATCATCAACAACAACAACAAAAAAATAAGGACACAGATCACCATTATTAGGGAAAAAAAAAAGACGAAACTGTCTTACCATTATTAAAGGGCAATAAGGGAATATCAGTAGCAACTTTATACCTTCAGATACAACTTAAATAAACTTCACATATCTCTTGAAAAATATAACTTACCAATTAAATTAAACCAAAGAAAAAAATATAACTAAATCAATACTGATAAAACAAATAATTTAAAGAACTTTCCCACCTAGAAATAGATAACCTGTCCCACATGAATTCCTTCATAAACTCCATCATACTTTTAAGGAAAGATAAAATTTAAGAAAGTAAAAGATAAAATTCAAGAAAATAAAAGATGAAAATCTTTTAGAAAATAAAGGAGAGAATACTTCTTAACTTGTTTTATGTGGGCAACATATTCTAAATACTAAGACCTGGTAAAGGCATTACAAAAGAATAAAAATAACAGACTAATTCCACTCATGAACACAAACACAAAAGTACCCAATAAAATATTAGCAAACTGAATCCAGCAATGAGCTTATCTCAGGAATGAAAGACTGATTTATATTTGAAAATATTTATAAATGTGATTTTCATTTTACATGCTAGTAATCAAACCCAAGGCCTCATACAGGCTAGGCAAACTCTGTACCACTGAGATACATCCTCAGTCTCAAAACAAGATATTTTTAAAAATTAGGCAAATTGATGGAAAATAAATATTCATAAATATATAAGTTCTAGGAAGAAGAATAAATGGAGAGTAACTCCATCAGATACCAAAACATAATAAAGATTAAAATAAAGCCATTTTTTTTATTTTAAAAAATAGATAAATGGAATAGAATTGAAAACCTATAGTCACAAATACACAAAGTAGAGTAATATATGACATAGCTTCATTTCAAATCATCGGGGGAAAGGTGAAATCGGAATAAATGATGCTGAAAAATCTAGCATACCAGCTGAAAAGGTGATTACATCTTTTCCTTGAAACAGGAAGTTTAGATTAAATATGTTTAAATGTGTCTAAAAATAAAATTATATAACCACTAGAAAAAACCTTGGAAATTTATTTTATGATTTCATTATGGAGAAAGTCATTCTTTAAAAGATACAAAGTTAGAAGCATTAAAATACTGACAAATTTGACACTTAAAGGTCACAAAAATAACATCATAAAGTTAAAAGAGACATGAAAAACTGGGAAAAAATATTTGCAATGTATCTTCAGAAAACAAATGAAGTTTTTTGATACATGAATAGCACTGACAAGTCATTAAGGAAAAAAATCAGTATCTTAATAGAGAAAAATAATGGCTTGTGGTATAAAAAAAGTCACAGAAAAATAAATAAAATTACTTTCTAACTAAAGTAAAACATGTTAGACTCCCTTCAACTTCTACTGACACAAATTTAAAAAAGAAGATAATTTTCATCATACACAATATTGGTTAGAATGTGTATCCAAGAATATTCCAAGGCTTTGTGGGAGCATCAATTGATATCACCTGTTTGGAAGGCAATTTGGCAATCTCTGTCAGTTAATATTCACATGACTTTGACCTAATAATTCCACTTTTGGAAATCCACATTACAAATCCTTTGCATATGTGTGCAAAAAATGTCCTATAGGCAAGAATATTTATAGCAGCATTGTTGGTAGTACTTGAGGTAAAAATAAATATTTATTTGTCGATGGATAAATAGGTTAGACTTAAAACATAATATGCTGCACTCTTAAACACTGAGATTGATCTACATAGGATTAGACAATTTGTCTTCAAGGTATGTCATTGGACATAGAGCATGAGACAGGACAGTTTATGACATGTGCTCCCCCTGGGTAAAATAACACACAATAAATAAGCACATATGGATAAATACTTTGATATATGTATAAATACCCATGTATATACACAGAAAGGGTTTTGTTCTTTTATGTTTATAGACCATTTCTTTAAAAATAGACAAGAAACTGTTATCATTTGTGGTGAGAAGATTGGACTGAGGGTCTGGGGTAGAAATGAAAAGTCTTAATTAAACATCTTTTGTGATGTTCAAATATATTTTTCCAATGTATATATTATTGAAAAATCTACCAGTTTTTTAAAAGTTTATAAACTAAAGGAATTAACCACTTCTTTGACTTGTGAAAAGAATAAATAAAAAGTAGATTTTCAATATGGTAAGCTTTGCATAAGAAAAACCACAATCACTTGATAAAGCTGTGTTTTTTCACCCATATCTTAAAAAAAAAAAAATGACACTTGTCCTTATGGAGCTCACAGTTCAGTGGGAAGAACTCACATTCTATCTTAGAGGAAGACTGCTGTCCTCGGGCTTAAATCTAAAATGTTTAGCAAATGTGCTTCTTTCCAAGATCATACAGGAACGAACTTAGTTCAATGATCCTTCTTTGTAGAGCTCACTCATTCCCTCAATAACTATCAACATCTCTGAGAAGTTGATCTCCCGGTACTGAGCTTCCAGGGGAGACTCCCAAAAGAAAGAGCTATCAGCCATCTTGAGTTCTATCCACTGGGCTTTTCAAAATAATCTGAATTCCCAAACGTGTTACACATTTTCTTACTTCCAATCTTTTGACTACGTTCTTCCCTTTACTTAGAATGTTAATGCTGGTTCTTAGATTTTTAAAATTTTATTTGTTCTTTTTAGTTATATATGGCAGTAGAGTATATTTTAACATACTTATACAAGCATGATATCATATTCTAATTAGGATCCCCGTCTTATGGGTGTGCATGATGTGGAGATTCACTGTAGTATATTCATATATACCTATAAGAGTCCTGTTAGAGTCATTCCACTGTCTTTTCTATTCCTATCCCCATCCCTTCCCTTCATCCCCCTTTGTCAAATCCAGTGAATTTCTATTCTCTCCCACTCCCAGCTTGTTATGTGTTAGCATCCACATATCAGAGAGAACATTTGACCTTTGGTTTTGGGGGATAGGCTTATTTCACTTAGCATGATAGTCTCCAGATCCATATATTTACCAGCAAATGTCATAAAGTAATTTTTATGGCTGATTAATATTCCATTGTCTATATATACCATATTTTATTTATCCAATTCATCTGTTGAAGGGGACCTAGGTTGGTTTCATAGCTTAGCTATGGTGAATTGAGTTGCTATAAACACTGATGTGGCTGCATTGCTGCACTATGCTGATTTTAACTCCCTTGGATATATACCTAGGAGTGGGTATAACTGGGTCAAATGGTGTTCACATTCCTAGTTTTCTGAGGAATCTCCATATTGCTTTCCATACTGGTTGCACCAATTTGCAGTCCCACCAGCAATGTATGAATGAAGTTTTTCCCCCACATCCTCGCCAACATTTGTTGTTGCTTGTATTCTTGATAATTGCCATTCTGACAAGGGTGAGATTCTTTTTCCCTGGCTAAATCCTACCTAAAAACAAATATTGGCTCAAGTGCTCCCCCAGAAAAGTAATTCTAACTATGGGCCCCATGGATTGGGTTAAAAACCTTTCTTCCTTGTTCTCACTGCTCTTCCTACCTTACAGTTAGCTATTTACTTGTCAGGTTCTCCTGTTAAAGTACACATTTGCTTAAAGGGGCTGGGACAAGGAGACCTTTGGTGCCTGACATAGAGTAGGAACTCAATCATTTGATGGTTTCAATTGCAGAATTTCACTATTTCCCTCAGTTCTCCCAGCATACACTACTGAGTTGACTTTGTTACTGATTTTCCTGCCTGCCTCTCCCTACTGCACCCCTTCTCCAAATCTCAGACATCATACTTACTTATCCAGTGAAATGGCAGGGAAGACAAACTTGCCCAGGCAAATACGATATACAGCACTCAGGGGAACCCGCTGCACCTGCACACAGCTGAGCATGATGAAGTCATATTTGCAGATCAAGAGTGTCTTGTCTGTGACCAGCAGAATTTTCTCCTTCTCATTGTTCCAGTGGTCTATCCTGCAGGGGTCATCACAGGGCAGAAAAGTTGATAACATGGCCTTCCCAAGTATAAGACAATGGCATTTGCTGAAACATCTAGCACAGAAGACAATGAGGTTGGATCATATTGGAGGGAAGAGGGACTGAGGAGTACCTAAGGTCAACTCCTCTCTCTCTCTCTCTCTCTCTCTCTCTCTCTCTCTCTCTCTCTCTCTTTCTCTCTCTCTCTCTCTGAACCCATGACTAATTGAAGAGGGAAGGTAGGCAATGTTTTATCATCACAGAACTCAAAGGTGATTACCCATGGCAGAATCCATTAGAAGAATACCAAGTTTGCATCCTGTGGCATTGGACTGATGTATACATGTCCAAATCTTCTCTAGGAAGCCTTCATGGAGCACATCTTCCTCCAAGGACACCCCAAACAGCTCTTTATTCTAACTCACAAAATTTACTCACTAGTTTATGCTGATCTCCGACAGCCACATCACTATCTGGAGACTTAAACAGAGGCCAACATTATCTAGAAAGCTCATATCCTTCTGGTAGAAATATAGCTGAACAAGTGAAGTGGGATTCTTCAAAATCAACACTAGATAAATATTTATTGATTTTATTTGCTTCAGAATTGAGAGTCCTTCAGGGCACACATGAGAAATTCTGAGAGTTAAGAAATCCTCCAAGAAAGAACAAGAAGGAATCAGAACAGTGGTTTCTGGTTAGAAAAAGTGAGCATTTCTGTAATTCCCCTGACCCACAGCACTTTTGCTGTCTGTTAGTCTTTAGGGTATCTTACTTTGTGACCTCTTAGAATTGTTTCAGCACATTTCATACTAAAAGACCATAAAGGTGTGTTGGCTCAACGGGAAGACCAACAGGAAGAAACATGAAAGAGCAATAGAGATGTAGAATACAGAAAGAGGGAAAATCCGCAGATGGAGGGAAAGAAGGATGAGATCACTAATTGAAGTCCTGGTGGATGGCAATCATTGAATATTTATAAGGTTCTCTCTACATCCATCCTGACCCTTTGAGGAAGGTTATATCCAAAGTCCCTCTGCTAAACTATGGTGCTAGACTTGGCACCCAGTGGAAAGAAACAGAATAGAACCCCATAGATCTGTTAAAATCTTGGCTCTTTGGATTCCACCCCCTCTAACACGCAGTGGTATTCAACTCCTACTCTACGGAGAGAAAGAGAAATCTTGATAGTCTGTTTAGCACTCTCAATCTTAGTCAGGAAGAGACGAGAATTCTGAAATGTCTTTCTCAGAGATCTACATAAGCTTCTCTAAATAGATCGTATCTGTATCTACTTAGCAGTACGTTATAAGCTGCTGCCTAATAAACCAGACTTGTTTTTAGTCTAAAATAACTGCTGCTTTTGGTTAAATGGTTTTACTGAAAATGTCAGCGCTCCATAATGAGATTTATTTTAAAAGGTAAAGGATTCCGGGAAAAAAAGGGAGAATTCTTTTTAGGAACACACAGTGCTCTGCTGTGACATAGACTCTGCATAATTTACATGCCGGGAATGTCTGAATTCAAGTAAACATACAGGCTTATAAATAGTTTAGGGCCACCATCTCTAGCTCTTGGGTGGTATATTTATTTATTTAGACTTCAATCACACCTTTTTTCCCTAAAGCACTCATGCAGAAAACACTGAATTACATATTCCTGATATTAATACCCTTGAAGTTTGGATGGCAAGAATAACAATAAATAAAGAAATACAAATAACAATGATACATTGAGTTTGGGCAGCTCAAAGGTTTACAAAGTCCTTAAATAACCAAGCTTTCATTGAATCCCCATAATAACCCTTTAGAACTCACTGAATGTTACCACTCATTGTAAAGACAAGGAAACTGAGGCCCAAAGACCTTACAAATGACTTACCCAGGGTTTTACGAATAGGATGGGGATCTGACTCAGACACTGAGACAAGGGGCTTGCTTTCTCCCTAGTGCCATCACCTTCAAAAAGAAGCCCCTTTGGTGTGCTGTGCAAGTTTCTTAAACCCTGGGAGGACCAGATGTGATAATAGGTACCACTCTAGGAACTGTTCCCTCCAGCAACTCCTTCCTCAAAACATCACTCATGACTGTCCTATTCCAACCTTGTCCTCCTTTGGTGTTCCCTCTCTTGAGGAAGAACCCTCTCTCCATCCAGGTGGGCAAGCTAGAGACTTTGGGGTTGTCCATTGCTTGTCACATTTCCTCACCTCCTGTTCCAGTTCCTATTTTATTCCCAGAATGTCTCTCAACCCCCCCCCCTTCCCTCCCTCTCCATTCCCATCACCCTGGCTTGTCTTCCATTACCTCCTGCCTACACCACTGCCCTTTATGCTCTCACTGTGCCTGGGATGCTCACCACCTGGACCTGGATCACCTACATCTGCTCTTGCCCCCTTCCAACCTCTGCATGCTACTGCAGGGAGGTGACTCTTCAGATAAAATAAATCTCCTCTCTACCTCCCCACCTTGGCTTTGCTCACCTCAGCTCTCTGTGGCTCTTATAAGAAATGACAAAAAATTGTTAACCTGCTATGTATACAACCAGAGATATGAAAAAATGTGCTCTATATATGTAATAAGAATTGTGATGCATTCCGCTGTCATATATAAATTAAAAAAAAAAAATGTTAACTAAAATGTTCTGCAGTGTTAAGCCTCACCACTACTTCAATTTCATTTCTGGCCAAGTCTCTCTGCTCTCTTCTCCTTCAGCTCATTTCAATTTCTTGGTTTTCAACATGGCCCTTCAACTAAGGGGTCTTTGCACCTGCTTTTCCCTTTGCATGCAATGTTCTTGCTTATCTTCATCAACTAATTAACTCCTACAGAACTGGGCTCCACCACCACTTACTCCAGCACACCTTCCCAAACCTCTGTGTCCATTTCTATTCTTTCCGATATACACTTACACAGACCCTACATTTCCCTTTTATTATGGTACTTGTCCCAAGTGAAACTTTACAGTGATGTCTATGATTATGTAATTCATGTCTCCTCTTCTATGCTGTAAACACTGCAAAGACAGAGTCAGATCTTCCTATTGTGTCTCCAAGGTTGTAGGTTTCCAAAAACAATATATTTATGAAATGAACTAGGGAAGAATGAACAATTTTTTCTCTGTGCAACCTTGGCTTGGCTCATGCTGCCTGGGGAATTCAATGCTTGGTTTTATACACTAGAATACTCCCCCATAAAGTAGCACAATTAAAAAGTAATCAGGGGGCTGGAGTTTGTGGCTCAGCGATAGAGCCCTTGCTTAGCACATGCAAGACACTGGGTTTGATTCTTAGCACCACGTAAAAATAAATAAATAAAATAAAGGTATTGTGTCCAACTACAACTAAGAAAAAACATTTTTTTAAAGAATCAGTAATGTTGATGACATAATAATGAGAAAGAGTAGGATACACATGCTACATACTGTATAGATGAAATTTTGTAACAATGGCAGCAAAATAATGTACACAGCCAATTTTGAGGTTGATTATTTTTGAGTGGTAGGATGTCAAATATTTATTTTAATGCTTTTCATGCTTTAATTTACCAAAGTTGAATCCATTCTATAAGAAATATATTCTACCACTACAAAAAAAGAGATTTTCAAAAATAAAAATACTACCATCATTCAGGTTCACAGCACAAGTATTTCCTATCTTATAGAGTCTTACTCTCACCTTTCTCCTCTCTCTTCCTTTAAATACACACAAGCCTGTATCAGTGCCTCCCCTGGGGCCCTAGTCAGAATGTTCCCCATATTATAGTGATTTCTGTATCTATTCTACCTATTCCCTTTACACACATTAAATGGGAATCCATCTAGCGTATAATCCATTTATTTTCATATCTGGGTCTCTTACCTGTGCCTAACCAAAGCCAAAAAGAGAATAGGGACTCAGCACATAGGCAGGGAATGGAATGAAAAGTAGAACCATAAGATCTATCCCCTTTGTTCTGAGAGCCAATGTTTCCTGCAAAGGATTTTTCACCACTTTTTGTTTGTCATTGCTGTTCCTCAGCACAAGCACCCCTGCCATACATGATGGGAAGGAGCCTAGATTCCAGGTTAGAAGAGGGTACCTGAGGAGCTCAGTGCCTGCAGTTTCCTAGGATGATAACAGATTCACCAGCAGAGGGCAACAGCGAACTAGCAATGACAAGCTGGACCCATCCTGTAAATTTCCAGGGACTACCACCCAGTTGTTCAAATTATCCCAGATGCCTCCCTAGAAGCCCCAGCCTCACACCAAGAGTACTTTCAGTTGCTTTTTAAAAAGATTGTGCCAAATCAGTTTGTGGTTTTAAAATGATTTCCTTCCCTGAAAGATTTTCTTCTAATAATATTCTCTCAATATCTTCCTTCTCCTATTTCTCTCTCTCTCTCCCCCATCTCTCTCTCTCTCTCTCTCTCTCTCTCTCTCTCACACACACACACACACCACTCAGCAATGATATCTTTCCTGATACTGAATGCAGTGACTATCTGTGATTTGCATTATCAATCTTTGAGCACGCCCCAAGCCTCTTAGGATGTCCAGGTCTTGGAGTATAAGATAGTGTGTTGGCTAGCCAGGAATCAGCATCCCAGGAGGAAAACACTGACTCATTCATTACACACATTTCCCCTGAGCATCCATTGCGTTCCAGACCCTGAAGAGAATCCAATTCGGGTTTGCTCTTCAAACACAAACTGAAGAAAAATGCATGGCATTAGAGCAAAGCAATTTCCCTACCCCTGAGTTAAGTGGAGTCTTGTAAAACCTTTAGCTAAATAATCCACATACATTTCTTTCACTTGTTTGGTTACTCTTTCCTAGGGCCTCTCCAATTTGTTTAAAATAGGAGACCCTCAAAGTAAACTCTGTATTCCAATAAAAATGTTATGCCACAAACCTTCCTTGTTCACAGTTATCCTAGGCTGGCTTCCTATGATGTGTTATTTTCTCCCTGCTCCCCTGTGCTCCAGTCATGGACCAGGCTTTGTGCTCTTTATAGGGAATA